ATATAAGTAGTTGTATAATTTAAATCGTGCGAGTAACTAAGGGTTAAACACCATTGATTCCAATTCCGATACAATTAGTTCAACAAAAAAGAAAGAAGTAGGTAAGTATAGAAGTTACTCCAAGAATATCTACAACTAATAGGTACTTTGGGTACTCCGTTAATTTGCCACGTGAGAAGCACTGTACATTTTTTTCAAACAGGTATGGATGCTATTTATGTCTTTACGTATTATAGGTGCAGATATATACTATTACAAAATATTTCGTTCGCATGCCACAAGGTAAAGTAACATAAGTACATGCAATACAATAATTAACTAGGAACATAATATAAAATTGACAAAACTCCAACTCATTCGTTAATATATTTAATAAGTTCACTTGGAAAACTAACTTCAGTACTAATAACCACCCAGATCTCGCGATCTCTCGATCTCGGCAGAAATAATCCACCTCAACGAAAACATGTCTCGAAGTGAAATTATTAAATACCAACCCTCATACCTTATTATACCTTTCAAAATAGCACCGCCATAGAAATTACTACACTTATAATATATTTATTATAGGCAGGGGATGAATTAAAAATAGACATTGGTCACTTTAATACTAGAAAACTTGAGGTTTAAGTAGCAATACGCTGTCCATTTGCTGCCCATCCATATCAAAGTGACAAAGTGTATGTCTATCAGATATTTTATAAATTTTCCATATACAAAACTTATCTAAGGGTATAAGAGGTCCTAATTTCATTACAAAATTATTGGACACTGCGCTACAGTATACATCAATAATAATAAAGTATCTCACTTTGTTTAGCTCCTTTGTGTATAAATTGTATTATTTAGAACTAATAGTGTTCCATAGGGACCGAGAGTACTTAATAATAACGCTAGGGATTGGATACATTCAGATGCAAAAACATTGGCAGTTTGAAACTTTAGCCCCTACAGAAAAACTCTAACATCATTGCATATATAACTAACACGCACATCCACGACTATAGACATATATTTTATCTTATTTTTCTAGCTCATTATTAACGAAGGAATCAAGCAGTAGGTTGTACGGTGGAGGCGTGTTGGTGGGTAGAGAGATGAGTGGACTCGCTGCGTCGCGGTGGTGCTGGCGGTGGCCGCTTTTTGATGGGCTTGGGTTCCTCGCGTCGTACTGACATCACTGACTGCTCCCGCCCGTACACGTTTTCGTAAAAAGGATCTTCGATCCCGCTACCGTAATGCTCTTGGACCCACATCGATACACTTGTTTCCTTGTAATCATCGGAAAGAGGGTATTCTCGAAATCCCAACACTTCATGTGGTGTCGTTGCTGGTTCTAGTTTACATTTTTGGGCAACTTGCCATTTTTTCCTCATTACTCTTTGTAGATCTTTCAAAAATTCTATAGGAGGATTACTAGTAGATTCCGTAAGCTTTTTGGGTGACGAGAGTCTCGTGCTCTCGTTTCTTTTTGGAGGCATAGGTTTACGAGGCGAAGACGGAAGCGGTTCCTTCAAGTTGAACGAAATTTTGTTATTCTTTTTGTCGATAGAGGTAGGCAAATCGTCTGCAAAATTAACCTTTTTTACTGATCCCGTGCGGTCTTTAGCAGGTTCGGAAACTTTCTTCTGTACGGAAGGACTACCATTGCTAAGCTTTCGCGACTGGAGTTCAACCATGCATGCACCGTAAGCAACATTTTGCTGACCATACAAACTTTTATCAGAATGAAGCGAAGAGGTGCGAGATGTATCAGAATTGACGCTATCGAGTGACGGCTGGCGCGGAAAACTCCGGTTGGAGTCAGAGCTGCGGACGCTAGTACGCAAGTGACCTGCACGGGCTGCTTGTTCTATTTGTTGGGCCGTGAGTTGGCTTACTATGTCCTGCACCCGGCCTGCGGGAGTTTCCAGTTTATGTTCCGGCGGCGGAGGCGGTAGACTCAGCTGTGAGCCGCGCAAGTCTTCCATGGGCTCCAAATTAGGTGGAGGTGGCGGCGGCGGTAGAGAGTCTAGACTTAAAGTGGAACTAAACATAGCGTCAGACACGACTTCACTCGGAGGAGGTGGTAATGGTAAGTCTTCAATGTTTGTCATTTCCGGGGACCTTTGAACTTTTTCGTATATTTTAGTGTAGCCATAAAGTGAAGAACTTGTATCTGTATTATTACAATAACCGTTGTCCCTGTTAATAGTTTCATAGTGATCGTAAGATGGTAAGGGTAGATCATGTCTTAGAGGGCTGCCTGTCGAGGGTAGAAGAGAGCTGTTGTTGTTTACGTAAGTGGTACCGTCTGATGTGCCTGAAGACAATTATATGAATTGTTAGCACTTTGTTGAAAATGAGAAAATAAATTCGCAACAAATTTTGTAAAGGGTAGTATAACAAAGGGTAGTGTAACAAAGGTTTAGTGACCTAGTATGGACTCCACTCTCTCGCTTAAGGTAGTTGACTTTGCAGCTTAATTTAAGTAAAACAATCTGTAATTATGCAACCTTCTCTTTGTGAGAGTGAATAAATATATTTATTATTATTATGTTCGTTTTCTATTGCTTTATTTGCTTTTTCAGTGCACTTACTATGCTATTTTATGTTAGTAGTTAATACGAACCATGCGAATGATGACGCTTGAGGGTCGAGTCGTCAGAGCGGGCGCTGCGCGGGCGCCGCGTGAGTGTGCCGCTGTCGCCACCACCGCCCTCTTCCTCGCCTTCCCCCTCACCATCTTTCTCTACCATCTCTTTGAGTTGCCGCGTCATCCACGTTAGAGGAATGTTCGGTTTCATCGAAGGTTTGCGCTTTATTGTGCCTGCAAAAAGCAAATATTTGGTAAAATTTATGCTGTAAACAGCATACATGTATGATATAATTGTACTAGAGTTGTACATACATACATCCAAATTACGCCTATCCCCAGTAAGGTAAAGAGAAACATCCACGCTACTACGCTCCTAACGTCGTTTTCCGATAAATTTTGTGAATAATGTGCTAACTTACCCATGGGAAATTCGCAGTCGAAAGCACTTTCTGAAGCGGTGCCACCGTCGGACATACAGCCGCTGGAACTAGATGAAGACGCGCGCGAATGCCTGTATAAATTATACTATTAACTTGTATTTACACATAAATATAAAATACCAATCTCTTAGATTTTCGCGATAGTTACACGTAGGAAATGAAACTGTTTTTCCGGATTGAAATTTCGTATATTTGTTTTTTCAAACAAACCAACGTTTCGGTCCCTTTACAGGTCGCATGGTCACGGTGGACTGAAGTGGTAAAGTCATCCCCAGTTATGTCTAATATTAATATTTTTGTAAAATTAAAAATAAGGTATTTAATTAATAACTTTTGTAAGTATAGTGAAAAAATAGGGTGGTTTGGATTAATAATATTATTATACATAACCGGTGGATGACTTTACCACCTTTTTTTTTTCAGTCAACCGTGACCATGCGATCTTTTTTTTTTTTACGGGGGGAAATCTTTATGGATACTCCTGAGCCCAGGTGACCATGTGACCTGTAAATTGACCGAAACGTTGGTTTGTTTGAAAAACAAATATACGAGATTTAAATAGGGAAAAATAGTTTCATTTCCTATATAAAATACCATTTATCTGTTTTAATATAACACAACATTCGCTTTGGAATATGCCATAATATGCAACCGAAAATAAAAAATCCGCTTTGCAAATACTTTACGGAAATAAATAATAAAACCAAAAAAAGTAAATAAACCAAAACATACGTGGTTTATGTACCACTCATGTGATGAGAAGAGTGTTAGGTATGAGTATGGAGGGATACAAAAGAAGAAGAGGGTCAAAGAAAAGATGGATGGGTTGTGTGAAGGATGATATGGATAAGAAAGGTATGAGAGTATGGAAATGACGGCTGACAGGGGAGAGTGGAAGAAAAATACATATTGTGCCGACCCCACCTAGCAAGGGGTAAGCATAGGAAGAAGAAGTACCACCCACCTGCCGCTACTGATGTCCGAGTTGACCACACTAGCGTTGCTAGACGAGGCCTGAGCTGGGCTGCTGACATCAGTTGTTGCGCCTCCATTAGTTTTCGTAGGTATCGATGTGATCTACGAAAAAATATTTACTTTTTTATAATATCATGTCTGTCATATCATATTCTGATATCATGACGGGACGAACAAGTCGTGCCCCTGGTGGTAAGCGACACGCCTGTCCATAACAGTTGCAGTGCCACTCCCGAGCTTTAAATCGCAAAGATCTGAGGGGTTTTGCCACTGCGCCTGTCACCCTAAGACATAAGTTCACAAGTCCCATGTGCCTGTAATTTCACCAGCACGCTTAACCTTCAAATCCGGAACACAGTAATGCTGACTTTACTGCTTGGCGGCAGAAATAGGTAAGGTGGCAGTACCACAACGAACAACGCACGAACTCTTTCACAAGGAGCCCTACTGCTACTAAAATAAGAACTTCAAGTAAAAATATGTTATAACAGACACAAGGTTGTCCTTATATGTTTATTTATTTATTTATTACAATATGATAATTTCATTGTTTTAAATGAAACGGTATGGCATTTATCTATGCACCCTATCTATTTATGTCTATACAGGGAGTCACACGACTATAGGACGCGGGGAAAGTACTTTTAATATTGCAGATAGGTTATTTTGCATAGCATTATTTTATTTTAATTGAGTTTTTATTGAATGTCACATGTTTTCACCACATATTCAATTTTTTTTTGGGAAATTACTCCAGTAATTTATTATAATTAGTGAACAAAGATTGAACACTTTGAAAAAATTCATTTCGATCCGGTTAGATTCGAACCAATGTCTCCCAGCAAAATGTGTCAGACGCTATGCCAACTAAGCAACGGACCGAACTAACGGACCTCACGAATTTTTCCATGTGTTCCTTGCAGATCTTTCTCTTTGGTCTTGAACGACTTTTTTGCAGTAGCGCCATCTGTTAGAAATCTGTACATACTAATTATATTATTTTATATTTAAAAGTAATTAATAGTGCATTCAAATATTTAAATTCACCTGGCAATCTAATCAAACAAATGTCAACGTCCTAGGTAGTGCTTCTTGTAATACAGGGACAACTAATTAAATCTAAAGTATTTTGACAATGAGTTTCTTTTCATATATTCGTAACATGGATCTTGGAATTAATTGTTTCTACCTAATAAATATGGTAAATGCAATAAAGAATTAAATTGATTAGAATAAATAAAGGTGGTGGTACTAACCGAACATGAGCGAGCGTGCGCTAAGTGATCTAAGTCTTCTTGAGTAAGTTCCTCTACCAAACAGCGATAATTTTCTAAGAGTTGTCTTCCATGCTGTAAGAAATGAATGCGGTGAGCGTTGCTGCTAAAGGAAACAGAATTATGTTCGATAACATCACTGTCACTTCGTTATCGTAACGTACCTTGGCTATTCGCATAGCGGTGACCCATCTCTCGAGAGTGCGCTGATCGTCTGCGCACAGGAACTTAATAAATTTAACACTCTTTGGTTGCTGCAGCCTCGGGTGTTTGATCGCAAAGCAGAAGTCTGTTGGCGACTTATACTTTTTCTTCCAGTTCAACCCTATGTACACTTCGTTAGTATCAAATGTTGCTAAGCAGATTAACTCCTTCAGAGTCTTCACTTTTTCTTTAGGCGAGTAATAGAGTCCTGTTCCAAAAAAGTTAAATGATTGGCATTAAATATAACAGACACATGTAAATTCTTATAAGATTAAGCTCGCGTCAGCAAATTCGCTATGCATATAATTAAACAGCAAGAATGATAGAATAATAAAGTGTGGCCACACCTCGCGCAGCACTCTTTAGTTATCGACAACTGCATATGGTAAATACAGCAGGCTATTACCATTGGCATTGTTTGTATTACTAACCAGAAGGTCGTAGTACGAAGTGATATTTCTTCCATCCCTTTTTGGCATCACTCTTCAAATAAAGAGGACCTTCCATAGGGGGAACGGGGTGTCCAGAAACTGACGGTACCGTACTAGTGGTTCCGCCACTTTGGCCAAAAAATTCTTCTATAATCACCTGCCTCGAATGTTCGTCATGCTCACTTGACCAACCTAGAAAACGATCACTTTCAAATATTGTGCCTGCTAAGAAATTATTTAGCTTGAGAAAACATATAGCCGGGTACTCATTTGCGAGCTGTAACTAACATGCAGATACAGGAACGAGGTTCTAATGTGTACGCTTGAAACAGTCTTGAATTAGACGGCTCACTGCGAACCGCACGCGGCAAGCCACGAACCAAGTACACACTATGATTTTTGGTAGCATAACATGCGACGGTTACAGTTAAGTCGGCTTAATGTGCTAGTACATACCTTTGTCGTCTTCCGATAAGAGGAACTTTTCAGGTGTTTGAAATAAAGACATTTTGTCAGCTCTTTCAGCAAAAAGTATTTTATTCTTCGATTCCCTTGTCCATAACATCAGATTATCGACTAGCATTTCGTGATCCTCGTAAACTCTCTCTGTAAAAAACAACAAACATAAGTCATCTGAGCAACAATTGTATAATTAATAATTATAATTATTTAAGCAAGATCGAACAATTAGAAAAAAATTCCTTCAATCCGGCCGGATTCGAATCGACGTCTTCTAGCAAACCGTGCCAACTAAACCACGGAACGAACCAGATTCATGAATTTTTCTATGTACTTGTTTGTCGGATCTTTGTATCTGGTTTTTAACGACTTTTTAGCCGTAGCGCCATCTATGAGAAATCTATGAAAATATTTCGTTACCTTTCCTGACATTCAATAAAACAATTCTTATAATTATTACGAATACAAACTTAGAACAATTCGTAAAAGTAATTATACGAGTTACTTAGCTCTGCGTAGGTATATCGATATTAGGTCATTCAAATTTCATACTCACCCATGTGCAGGTCAGGCAGATGTTCGACAATGGCCCACTTCGGCTCCATAGTGACGTGGTTTTTATCAGCCAACAGTCTGGTAACGTATCCACAGCTCATCTTCTCGTCGACCAGCAGGCTCTTGGACGAACCGTCCATTGAAAACGCTTTGATAAATAATTTCTTTATGTTCGCTTCGCGCATGCGCTCTAGCGCTAGTTTTATTTTGTCGGCCTTTTGTTGGAACACTGCATCCTGCGAAGAATTTATGTGTGAGAGCTGACATTGTACCACTAAGTAAACATTCGCACACACACAATCTTGTTATATACCTTTTGATTCTGATGAAGATTTAGTTTGAGAGCTTTACATTTTGCACTTGCACTACTGGAAGCGGATGATTCGCTTGAAAGCATGGAAACCTGAAAATAACATATATAATTTTGTAGTACGTCGATTAGGACAAGTAAATTGCATTCAGGGATTGTTGGCATTCTATCGATTATGAAATTGTTTCTTACACCAAAAATTCCACGTGCTGTAAATTCCGCCGCGTGGTTTTTGTATGGAAAGAACGTGGCAGAAAATCCCTGATTTTTTATAGGTAATGAACGAATACTAACAGTATCACTAAAAGCGGAGTCATTGTCGGGGGAGTCGGTGCGAGTGATGTTGGAAGCTCCATCGCCATCTTTTCCGCACTCTTGTCTTTGCCCGTCACTGACGTCTCCGCGATCTTTGGACGCCGATGAGTACCCTACGTAGGATATCAAATTGTTTTAATTTCTTTTTGTCACACAACCTTCAAGAGATATTTTTAACCGACTTCAAAAAAGGAGGAGGTTCTCAATTCGACTATGTTTTTTTTTTCTTTTGTATGTATGTTACACGATAACTCGAGAATCAATTTTGATGATTCGTTTTTTGTTGGAAAGAGGGTACCTTAAAAGTGGTCCCATTTAAATTTGAAGAAAATATTCCAGCTCTAAGGGTGGCAAACTAAGGGATGAATGACTTTTGAGGTCGGTTTTTTTTAGTACTCTGTACTGATTTTATTAATTGTTTTTACAATTTAAACTATATGTTAAATTGTAGCTGCATAGACGTACGTATATCGCACTGGTAATACAATAGTGTTGTAACTAAAAATATGTGAAATTTGAGATTATACTATTGTTGAACGTAAAATTTGATTCTCTACACGTCAATACAACCGTCATTACAATATTGTGAGAAACAATTCAAAGATATTTACTTAACTCAAAATGAGAGAAAGTTTTCCAAAAAGATGAAATTATTTTTTCCTTTTTATTTTTAAATATATTTGGTAAGTAGGACATTGTATAGATGTCTGTTATGAAGTTCAACCTATATTTTTAAAGTTTTATATAAATTTTAATAATCTTTCACGGGAACTGAGTAAGTAATTCGTTTCTGATCGATTCTGAAAAAATACACTTTTTGAGTTAACACACTATTGTATTAACAAATGCGATATGTTTGTTTCAAAATGAACGACAAACCAGATAATCTATTAGAAATCCGTACCTGAAGACATCCTGGATATTTCTTCATCGTATTCGGAGTCGAGTGCGCAGAGTTCTCCGAGGATGGCGTCCAGGTCGGCGTCCTGAGTCTCCTCGAGGTTGGCCATTGAGAATCGATACGTATCGATCCTCGGTGCTACGATCTCAAGTGGTCTCAGAGCCGTTGTCGCCTCGCTAGGTGCATTCAGCCCCTGAAATCAGAAAAATCAGTCTATTACAATGTTATAATTTAAGTAAACAATTGCATAGTTCTCTTTGTGAGATATTTAATGATATGAACCTTATATATTACACTAGACAACATTATGTTATAAGACGTCAGTTCAAAATGTAATATAGGCGTGAATAATTCACGCAGGCACCCTTTAATGATCCCCAGGAAACTAATCTTATGCCATAAAAGTGGCAGGACATGTTGAATATGAATGAGGGGCCTTGTATGCCCAGGAATTAATTATCCCCGCTTAAATAAGTGTAGGTAACTAAGAATTTTAGTGACATCTAAAAACAACTGGGACCATTGTGTTAGAACAATGAACTTCGTCGTTAAAACATAAACAATTTTATTGAATTAATTTTAATGGTTTCGAACGAACACATAATTTCTGTAATAAGTGATTGCTCTTTCATTGGAGTCAATTTCTTGTTTAAAAACTATGTTTATTTTGATTGTGTTTTCAATTAACAGAGTTGCGTGCTTGTAAAAAGTAGTCCGGGAGCGTGACAGACACATCCATGATAGGGCTCTGTACATAAATTGTTGCCGTAACGTAAATCAGTTTACCCATATTTCATCTGTATTCTGTTTGCAATAAGAGCTTCTTTAAGTAATTTCACACTAAGTGTCGTTGCTATAAAAACCGGTATAATTTGTGTTTTATTGTAACAATTTATATTTTGGATTTGCAACGGTAGTATAAGATTTAAGGGCGGGAAATTTATTGTATTGATGGACTAATTCCAATTTCCAATTTTTTTTGGTCAACGATCATGACGGTAGATGCACGAATGAGCGAGTAGAATGGCTGGGACTTATAGACAGATATTACAAAACTAAAGGATTCCGGGTTTGTATAAAGGAACCCCAAAGACCGTCGCAATAAAAACAATTTTGTTTTTGGAAAAATTTTTTCGCGTATTTTCTGTAATATCGTTCTACAATTAAAATTATTGTTAAAGAAATAATGAAAATTTTATTTATTTAATCTCAACTCATGGGATCATGGGACCCGCTACCTATAAACAAAATGTGTAATAATAGCAAGAAATGTTAATACTCAAAATGTCCAAAGTAATTGGAGGTTTCAGTATTTTGACGTAACGATAATAGACGTACCATCGTCGGTGACATATCCAATGTTAGACCTGTTGGTTTACTGTCTTTTGTAGATATATAATTATTTCTAGACTTTCCACTGGATAGGCGAAAACTTCTATTGAGATTGTACAGGAATCCCCCACGATGCCTCTTGCTCAACTCAATCAGATGTACATCCATCATTCCGTTTACATTGCTACTGCTGATGAGTCATATCATAAGACATGAACTATTATTCACACTATTTGCTAAATATGTCAAAAGACCGGCATTCGACGGGCATGCGTCGCCTGCATCATTTTGTAAGGTAAAGGTTTAGATATTACAATTTAGTGCACAAATCGAAAACACGCCGAAATTAATCGTATTCAAATGCTTCGTCCGAAGACAGCGCCAAAAAACTACGTTGTTGACACACAGACCGTCCCGACAACTCACTTTTATACAAATTTGGAATTTTGAAATAACTTTAATACAACGTCACAACTGTATCACAATATTAATAATACAGAACAAAGAAATCAGGCGGCGCCAATCTGAGGAACGCGTATAGCAAGCGCTGGCTCGAACACAACTACGAGTGTACGGGTAGTAGTGTTACAAAACGAGCCATGAGCCCAAAGCGGTGCCGCTTACAGGCTACAGAGCAGGGGGGGCAAGTAGACAAGCGGCAAGCGGTGACTGTTTTGTGCACGTGTGCGCGACCCGTTCTGTTTGATTCCAGACAGCCAAGTAGGATTTCGGTGGTGTGTGTGCAGCGACTACTCCCCTCGCGACTTCGCTCCGTACCCCTGCCTTCGCCGCGCGCTGCTTTCGTTGTGTGCCTTGCCATAGTAAACGCAATCACGCCCCCGCTCTCCACGCACACTGGCGCAGAGTTGGTGTGCCTTACCGTGCCAACATTGAGCTCGTTACTATACAAAATCATCCCCTTTCAAAAGAAAACCAACTAAATATTTGGGGTGGCATTAGCGGAATATGACTCAGAGGTCTTTGACACAATTCTCAAAATTTATGAAAATGTTCTAATTTCGTCTTGGCAACAAAACATTGACAACAAATTATGTAGATATTTTTTGTTAGGGATACAATAAAAATCGATTTCTTTCGAGGAGGCAAACACAAAGTCTATATTACGAAACAATGTCGTGGCGGTCTTTTCGCTAACATTGATTTTAAGCTAGTAGTAAGTATACCTACTGCAAAGCTTTTACTTAAAAGACTTTCAATCAGTTAAATAATTCTAGTGTTTGTTTGTTGATATGACCTACATTCCTCGAAGACATAATCCTACTTTCTCATCATTCCCATCGGGCCTCACCTTGTGTATATTGTAGGTAGTTGATAGGCATTATGACGATTCACGTAGGTATTCAGTAGAAATAATAATCTCTGATGTATATTACGTATACCTTACTACTTATAAACATAATTCAATAAATATTTATATACAAATAACGATTGTGTAACCTACTTTTTAATTTTTTTTAAATCTACAGAATAGATTTATGTTTACGGCCAGCTGCCATAAGCTCGGGGAGTTGTAGAGACTGAATATACATAATATGTATACCTAACTCTCATACACGGATTGGTAATCATCGTTTCTAAGTTAAATTATATGTAAGTATATCAAACAGTATAAGAAGTTTTAAAAAAGCTTATTAATATTTGAATACTAACGGTAGTAATAATATATTTAAAAGTTGCTGAATTTTAAACTATATTATGAGTAAAAAAAATTCCAGATAATCACTTCCGGCGTCAATGAAACTGAATATACGACTCCACCGAATCCGGCCGCAAAGCACGAATAAAGATGGACAAATAAGGGCAACAGGTGGTACTCGGGCGCACCTGCGCCCGCGCTGCCGGCCGGCACAACGCTAGGCCAATCTGCGGACTGCCAGATGTGCGGGATCACATTGTTGATTTTGTGCTGGCAGTAAAACTACTTTCCAGTTTTATGCGCTTCATTATACATACATTTCGGCTTCGCAAGAACAGTACCTACTTGTTGATTTTGACATACAACATTATCAATTTTCAATAAATACACTCACATAAGTTTCTAACATCAACAAAGGTTGAATGATCGTCAGGGATCTTTCAAATTGTGTATACAAAATATAATATTTATAATTTAATTTGAAATTTATCATAATCTTTTCGATGAAGGAGAACAACTCTCGGAAAACGTGTGAAGTCCCCAACCCGCATTGGGCCAGAGCCAGGTAAACCCTTGCCTGAGAGCAGACACGTGCCCAGTAGTGGGACATATAAACGGGTAGATGATGATGATGAAATATAATTACAAAATAATATCACATTACAATATTATTTACAAAATAATAAAACCGCGAAGATACGATTACGTTTCATGTGACCAATACACTACATAACATCTTTTATCATAATAATTTTTGGTATTTGATAACTATAATGTGACCAAGGATATTCTGAGTGGCACATAAATGTAAGCATATAAACAATATAATAATGAGTAAACATTCGACCAAACAGTCTTCGATTACACATTAAAAAAAACCTTACACGCTGTCTATTTCCCGCAACTACGACAATTTGGACAGTATAATTATTTTAATTTCAAAAATTGTCAGAATAATATAACTAACACGTGAATAATGCATGTAATCAAAAATTTCCTAAACAACTAGCTGAAAGGTACAAGTTTCGCGCAGTTTATATATTCAATCGCATGTTTAATAATTTGCAACGTCGTTTGTACCAGCCGCAGGCGTGGGCTGCAGGCCATCTGGACACCTGCTCTCTTAAAAATAATTATATTGCGGAGACTGAGACTACCCATTAAAATTAAAAGTAATAACTATGAACTATTATAATAACGTGTTCACAAAAAATACGCTTTGAGACTACGAAACGGCAAAAGTTAGATAGGTAACCTAGTACTAATTTCAAATCAGAATTCATAATTTTCAAAGGGAACATTTGCAACCCACAAGTAAATCGATGCTCATACATATTAAAATTAGATTTCCAACCCCTGTAGAGAAAGGCCGAATAGTAACGATAATAGGTATTGCCAAAGTAAAAGGCAAATAACCTTTATTTCGTAAGCAAGGTACTTTTGAAGTCGTCATATTGATTAAATTCTACTTTTACAACTCTACAATTGAACCTTGAGGGACGCCCATGCTAACGTATTAAGGAAAGCGGGAACTGGGATACACTTGGGAGCTTTATGAAATCAATCACACTTCTTGATTGAACTGATCACAGCATTATTACATTGATTGTTTCAAATTGTTGCTACATTTAATATGCTTGATAAGCTTAGATGTTTTGAGCCACGTTGTATTTTGTTCAGTGTATAGGAACTTGTAGGGCGAAATACCTATGCACAAACTTTCTTGTTATTACTGTAAAGGAAATGCCGTTGACAAATACTCCAATTTAGGGCTTTGTAATCGTAATTCCTCTATGGTTATAGATGCAGTAAGTAGCTTGACATCTGTCGATGACTGCAAACGAAGAGACTGCACGTGCTCGCTTCTAATTCCCGACAAGTTTGGATTGGTATGAGTTTTTTTTGGCTGCGCACCCGCCGCCGATGGGTTGCAGCTGCCGTGCCTCTTTGCACTATATTAAAGAAAACAAAAATTATATATAGCTATGAGGAGTATACAGAGATTTTTACATTCACCAGAAAACCCCGCCTTTTTAATATCATCAAGGTTATATCAAAAGTAATCGTTTTAACTTAGCTTGTTACATTTGTAACAGTTGTGACATTGTGAGTGCGTTGTTCTGCGTGCTTGTTACTGTTTGTTTTGTATGTGTAATTGTTTGTTTGTTTTGGTTTATGTTATTTTATTTTTTGATTTTACTATTTATAATATGCTCAATAAAATGTCCTAGTATAATGCAAAACCATGTAATTGCCCATAAATTTACTAGTGACCACTCGGTACATTTAGAGATGTACTAATTACTGAAAGATCTTAAGTTATATCACAAGGATAATTTTTCACAGTCGTGTTGGACCCTTTTGCGTAAAGATTTGAAGGTATATTGCCTAATGTAATCTTTCCTGTTCCTCCCAAAGCTAGAGATTCTCCCTAAGTGTGTTAGGACGGGATGCAATGTCCCAGGACGCGCGCCAGTAGGCCATGCTATTGTACTCCATCAATAAGCGAGCGGTATTTTTGCTTCATACATGGCTGTTGTTGAAACCTAAATTAATTGTCTGTTTAGGGGACAATGCCCTGTTGTTATACCCGTAATTTGTGTTTAGATCTTGTTTTTCAATTGTAGTAGGTTGTCAATTAGTCTCTTATGGATGGAGGGTAGGAATACTTATCGTCTGTTGAGTGTTTTACACATATATGTAAATAGAAAAATATCGGTATTTCTTTTGCAGTTAATTTAAATTTGTTGGTAATTGGTACCTGTTCTTCCTTACCAACACTAGCAGACTGTTCCTGTTTTCTGCATCATTGTTCGTCAAGTTAAAGGTATACTTTCACTAGATCTCACCGTTTTGATATACTCCAGTTATATGCATTTTACAAAATGACTAAATTTAAAAGTTTATTCACCGATCGAAGCTACGACGAACCGTTTATGTGCAAATTTCGAAATTTTTGCTTAAGCTTGCAATTAATTGTAATAAAATCATGAATCTGTGCTTAATTTTCCGCAAGTACCTACCTTAGTGTTGAAAGTTATAAGTTATGAAATACCTGTGAAATTAAACATTGGATGGATTGTTTACTAAACAAACAACTAGAACAACAATAGGGACAAATATTAAACAATATACTTGGGTGGAGCACAGTTATAAACTATTGTTTTATTTCTTTGCAAATAATAGTAATTCCGAGAGGCTGGCTGAGAGTACGCAAAACCTGGGTAGCGCGCATAATATGTTCTTGCGCACCTGTCGCGCCGGCTGCGCGCGCACGCCACACGTGTTCGATCTTAACGTGATCCAGCATCAATCTTCCCTTTTAAAGTTGTGAGTTTCTTTTTACTTAATTTTTGGTATTAAATTTGGAGTACTAGCCCTTAACCGGAATCGTTATTTTGATCAATGTAACTGGAATTGCGGGTCCATGTGGACCCTCCAATTAAAAACCTATGTAATTCATAACAAAGTTACAATAAACACTTAAATGGTTTACGAGTATATTAAATCATGTTTTATTAAAATAAAAATCAACTTATATTGAGCAATATCTTTAAATGATATTATTTTGAACATAATTTTTTTGGTTCCATTTCAATGATTACGAAATTAAGCGCGCTTTGAAATTAAAAGGTATTCTGTTGCTGTCGGGTACAAATTGGCCCATGATTCCGGTTAAGGGTTAAAATACGATGCTCTACGATGATTGTATCTAGAGATGATTATTCTTGTAAATTTATAATTATGAATTGTCGTTAGTATAGAAGCATGTTTTAATGTTACATGGTATAGGTATGTAGGTACTTACAGCTGTGAGCACTGTAAGTTCACCCAGCCACTCGTTAAGGAGAGCCTCGGGGTCTTCGGCGGAGGCTCCCGCGCCTGTTTCCTCTACCAGCGCCATCTGGAAATAAATAATATATTTTTGGTACTATGTTACACTATTTTTGTTATTGCTTTACTATATTTCCGATTACTAAGCGCAAAGGGAGTGTCTCGTGTGTAACAAGTACTTGATCGAACCATTTCCGCATGAGTGATAAGGGGAAAGTAAATGTTTGTTTTTTTCTTGTGTTGGTGTATTGAATTACGTCTTTTTTATCAGGTCACGACCTAAGGTACGTGACGCTTCATAAAAATATCTATAAACTTTCCTAAAAGGGCCTACAATAAGAAGGTTTTTATTGCAAAGCTATTGCAAGTCGTTGGGGCAAATCGGGCCTTTATAGCATTTAGTTTTTGTTAATATGCCTTTTAAACCAGGAAGCAAAATTAGGTTAGTCGTGTTTACGTAATGTTTACGTAAATACATAACAATTTACAAACTTGTCGTAATAATATTAATCGTAGATAGGGCTCGCCAGTCGTAGTGAATCTGAATTGCAGCAGACGGCAGACTATGAACGGTTTAACAATATGCTTGAGGACAACGCAATCTAGCTCCAGCTGGTACCTATGTGTTAGCTACAGAATATGGTAGTAGAGCTCCTTGTGAAAGAGTTCGTCCTGGGAAGTACTGTCACGTTACCTATTTCTTCTGCCAAGCAGTAATGTGAGCAACGGCGTTTCGATTTTGAAGGATAAGGGTGCTGATGAAATTAAGTTGATAAGACCCAAGCACATGGGTCTTGTCAATTTATGTGTCAGATCTTTGCGATTTAAAGCTCCTCGTGGCACTCCAACTGTTTGTGTCGTTTACTACCAGGCGCACGACTTCTTCGTCCCGTCACTTTGTATTATAAAAAAAGAATAGTGAATAGGTTAAAGTTATACCGTTGATGTCGTAGTATGAACAGGTTATCTAATGAATTAGTTACAATATAAAAATAACTATTAAATCGTAAAGTCAGGGTCAAAACAATTCAAGAAAATTATATATAATTGTACATATTGAATCTAGACGTGAATACGTGTCTAGACGTGAATATCTCTTTATAGGTAAATAAATTCTTTGTGTATTCATTTTAACCATGATCTATGCATAAGAATCTCTTTAAAATCTATTAATTCATATGAAGAACCCATATTCAACCACGTGGAACACCATGGGAACACCAGTCTACTCTGGCAAATTTCTGCAAGTGGTAAACAGTAACCCCACACGATTCGCAAATGACTCAGCAATTCAAACCCTCCAATCGGAATCGAACCCACACCCTACGACATGAGAGGCAAGAGCGTTATCCCAACTAGTTTACACAATTCCAATTTATGTGTAAATCCATAATATAACAACATTGCTTTCTACGCCGCGCTTGATTTGTTCGATAGCGGTAGTTTCTCGAGGGGAAGTTAATAAAACTTCATATTTCGTACGAACAAGTTCTAAAACTAACCTCATTTACTGCGAGGCTGTCTAGTAAAAAAGAAATCAAGTATAAATTCACATAACTAATGTTTTATGACACATATCAAAATTGTTTTAGCCATTGTAATAATTACGGGTACGCAATATTATTTTTATGTATTTTAAAAGTACTAGGAAATTGTCACTAGTAAAAAATCTAATAGTTATGTAATCGCAGGCTCATGCAGGAAATTACTGCCACCTTACATATTTCTACCGCCAAGCAGTAACGGTCACATTACTGTGTTCTGTTTGTGAAGGGTCATCTAGGGTAGTACTGCCACCTTACCTATTTCTGCCGCCAAGCAGTAATTTCAGCATTACTGTGTTCCAGTTTTGAAGGGTAAAATTGCTGGTGAAATTACAGGCACATGAGACTTGTCAACTTATGTCTCAGGGTGATGGGCGCAGTGGCGGTGCCCCCAGATCTTTATGATTTAAAGCTCTGAGTAACACTGCAACTGTTATGGGCTGGCGTGTGGCTTACTACCAGGCACACGACTTGTTCGTCCCGTCACTTGGTGTTATAGAAAAAAAAGTGCAATCGATAAATTTTAATACGTGTGGCGCACTATTAGTTTCCTGAATGAAAAAGAAAAAATACTATAAATGGTCAGAAATGAATTTATTGTTTCCCAAAATATTCTTCGTTAACGTTAATGCACTTTTTCATACGAATGAACCAATTTTGAATACATTTATACCACTCCTACGTGACAATCTCTGAAACATATTTTTCATACTCTTTGACAGCCTCTTAAAGTGATGAAAATCGTTGACCGCCTAACTGGTTCTTATTTTTGGAAATAAATAAAAGTCACAAGGTGCCAGGTCGGGACTGTACACGAGATGGCTCGTAAAGTCAACGTAGTTCACCTTCAAAAATTCATTTGTCTGTCTGGCCGTGTGAGAACTAGCATTATCGTGGTGCAAGTTGATACGGCGTTTACGGTTACTTTTACGGAGTTTGTCAATAAGTTCCGGCAAATAAATGATCGTGTACCAATCACTATTCACGTTACAACGATTCTCCAAAGCAACAGTAGCCACGTATCCAGTTTTATTAAAAAAGAAGCAATCATCCCCTTAGAGGCACTTTGCACACGCGCCATTTTGGTTGGTTTCGGTTCATCTCGAAAGACCCATATGCTCGATTGCTGCTTTGTTTTGGGATCGTAACTATAAAGGCGTTTGCCATCAGTTCGCGACATTTGTATTGTCCGTATAAATATAATTTAAAGTAGTGTACAAAAGAGGTACATACTTATTTACGTATTAATAGTCATCTGCAACTAACTACAATTATGATGATTGAATCTCGCGTAGTTGAGACACTACAATTTTTTATTGACCTGTTATTTTTGTATCTCAGTGTATATAGATCGGTGTATATGTGATGTTTTCCATGCGAAGTTATTACTTGTATAGTTAGACTTAAACCACAGTGCACAATAACATCATGTCTGCACCGAAACATTAAAGCTTTCTCCGAAAATTAATATCCCATTTAGAGGGGAAAGTGAAACAGTTGTTAAGATAAATTAACAGAGTCAATGTGATGTGAGCTGCCATCAATAACCGGCATGCGGGCCGACAAGATATAGGCATCTACGCTGCTAGCAAGGCGCATAACCCACCATACTCGTAATGTGTGCATCGACCTATTTTAATACACCGGTGGTTTAGAAGTAATAGTCACTCAATTGCTTTGCGGTTTGTTTTACGTGTGGCGTAAAATTAAATGTCTATAAAGGTAAACGTACTTTGACTATGTAGAGAGGTGTATTCGCAGTGGCATAGAGTTAATGAGGTACGGTACCGCATTGGGCTACTACCGTTCCAAAATAGTCACATCATTTATTGCATTTTGTGGTACAGAAAAAGGTCTTGGAGTTTAACCTATACTGTTATTTAATTTGTACACGGAACTAACACATTCAGTACTGAAACTAAACATAGCTGTATCTAATAATAGCCATCATAATCAATCTCCTTTGCAATTGAAGCCTCAAACTATAGACAAGATGCCATCTAGTGCTGTGTTACATATTTTCAAATCTTTCGTACGGAATAGAAGCATGGACACTAACCTAAAATTATATAAACGGTTAGGAACTTTCGAAATGTGGGTTCAGCGAAGATAGTTAAAAATATCGTGGACGGATAGAATCACAAACGATATCACATTGCAGAGGATGCATAAAGGCTTGGAGCTCCTATAGCGCTAACACGATATGGCGCTTCTCGTGCAAGGCGCGCCCTGTCTTGCGCAAAACCATACGTCCGTTTTCAAAGTTTGGGTCCGTGTCACGGAGTGAAAAATATTCTACTGAAACTCATACTGCAATTCTAAGCCCGCAGAATACTTGACCGCAGAAAAACCGCATGTTTCTAAAATTTTCGAGTTAATATGAATAATAATGTGTCAGATTGTCACACCAATCGCCTGGTCTGAAGGGAGTTCTCTGTACTATGGTACCAGAGTCTTTTCATTCACTCTGGGGCACTCCCCAGAATACCCAAACCAGAACTAATTCAGAAAAAAATCATTTCTCAATTGGGTCCTACCGGGAATCGAACCCGGGTCCTTCTCATCCAGCGACCACAGTATAAACCGTTGTGCCACTGAGGTTGTCAAAATGGTTCGTATGACCACCACATAACTCTTCCCAGCTGCAACTTCGCGTGCCCAAGGGGCTATAATGATAGCAGACATCCGATAAATGGGATAAGAAGAACTAGCTTTGAGACTTTTTAAATATATTTAGAATATATTATTCAGAGCGGTTACATATGGCGGCTTTTAACACCGATGCAAACGCGATGCAGTCGCTAATAGTCTACCTTTACACACGCGCGCGATTATAAGCATCAAAACAAACGCGATGCAAGCGCGCAACTGCATCGATCGTCGCACATTTGTATCGATGCAGTCGCGCGTTTGCATCGATGCAATCGCCTATAAATCGCAAATGTAACGATGCAATAGCGCTAATCAATAAAAAAATAGCAATAAAGCTAATAACTAAAAATCGCCGTGTGTGACCACTCTAAATTACTCACAATTCGATTTGTTCTGTTCAAACTGTTTTCCATCCTCTAAGGTTCAAATATATATACACAGTCAAGCGGGAAATGACCAAACGTCGCTTTGAGACTTCAAGTGACTGGCGATGATACTTATATAGTATTTTTCTTCTAGTTTTAGTTTTATTATTTGCTTAATTTCTCAGCAGTTTTTGTTTAATTATGTTTCTTGTAAATCTCTCTTTATCTTTGTCAAGCACTTAAATATGGAAATTCATTAATGTCATTTAATTACTCATATTATAATTTTGATTATTGCGTAAAATCCTGAAGTGAAAAAAATAATAATTAATATTACATACACGCATAGCCCCGCTCTACGGAAAACCTGTATCGCGGGTGCCATGGACATACATATACAACCGCAAATTATACCCTGTCTCACGAGATAAATAAATTTAGGCCATATAAATATTTCTGCCGGCCCGGTAATCAAACCCGGGACCTCTGCGTGGCAGTCCAGCATGATAACCGTTCGGCCATGGAGGCAGTTATATAAATACTTGAAGCAAGAGTTTACTTATATGTAAATATATGTACTGCGTTATCTGTAGGTAGAAACATTGGTACATATCGCGCAAAACGACGGAGCCTTATCCACATAACTTGGCTTGTTTTTAATAGATATTCTGTAGTACTTACATTGCTATGTGCCGTGATTTGGGCATCGCTACAAGTGCCAAAAAACAACTATGTAGGTAAGCAAGATTCACTAATGTGCTGAGTCATCTCTACCTCTAATATATTTCTGACGACATTAAGTGTGAGTATACATTTAGGGTGAGTGAATGAATATCGCGATAGCAAAAACCGTTTCCACGAAAAAGAGACCATTTTTAATTTCTCTATAGCAGTGTTGGTATCTCGCGTAAAGTTAGAAGGATCTTATGATGTCTAAAAATATATACCTACAATTATAACATATAAGTAACCCGTTCGCAAAAAGTGATCCTACGTCTTAAAATGACGAATATAGTCATTAGGGGATTACACTTGGACTCTACGTACGAGGAAGTGACAAAATTAGACCATTAGACCCAGGGTTATCTTTATCACCTTGACCTTGAGTTGACTCCATACGCGCCTCTCCTACAGACAAAGATAAGTCAACAAAATAAAAAGATAAAATAAATAAATAATATAAATATTAAAAAGATATAATGAATAAAGTAGGAATTTGTTAGACTACAAATCGCTTAGAAACAAGTTAACTACGCCAAAATAAATTCCATCATAAGACGGAATGTATACTATTGTACACGGTGACACAAAGATTTATTCGTGTGGTCGCACGTTGCACCACCGCGATGTGCTCACGTTTTCCATCGGGAAGTGGCACTGCAGCATACCACATACATGGAACATCATACAACTGCGTGAAAGAAAGTACAGTACACTCTGCCTGCGTGACAATCCATGTAGGAGATCACTATAATAAGAATAATAATCAGCAGATTTAATGTTCCATATGATTTAACGTGAGCTTGTACCTCTTCTTTCATGTAGAAATGAAATACAACGTTTGTTGACAAAATTATAACAATAATAATAGCTCCAACTATCAAAAACACCACATTGTTAAAAATCTATATTTGCAAACATTCCAAAAAAAAAGTTAAATAAGTATGAAACAAAAACTGTCAAGAACCGGTTTCAGTTTTATATGTAAACTTATTACACAAGTTACCTCGTGACATTCGAAATGTAGGTCTCAGTCGATGCGCCGGAGCTCATACAGTGTTGTTAAGTTGTAAAGCTCTATGCTGAGGCGACAAGGTCGAAGATAAAACTCAGTGTTAGCTGTGGTGTTAGTTTAAACGGACCGCTCGCGAAAAAGCGAAGCCGGCCAATTTGTTTAATATTGCACTTCACTTAACTACTCAAACGCACAACTTCTCACAATGTATTTGCAATTGTAGCGGTTCAATTTCGCTCACGACTCTCAGATCGCACGACAAGAGTCCAAAGTGCAGATTGTCCATATTAGATGTATGCTCGCACCGACGACTATTAAATGAATGAACGAGTATGATGTGTCAGTGATGCCAGCAGATGATAAAATATAGTAAAAATGTGAATTACGTCATGGCACCGCACGCTTCACTAATGAAAAATAGGAATGCCTTAGTATACTTTGGTAGTGCTATTTCTGTTTCTTTGCAAAATTGGAAGTCACTAAATGTGTTGTGGGGTAAAAGTTGTACGCAGCTACGGTTGAGAAGAATAATTGTATGTATGTGTGAATCAAATACGATTCGATAATGATCATGTAGGCATATTAACGTACTTGGCACCTTTTTCATGTTTTGTAGAAAAATGCCTAATGAGGATAATTTCGTTAGTACGGATAGTTGTACGGAAATCTCCTTGGGAACAAAATTCATGATGTTTACATGAATTCACGGTCTTGTATCATATTACTTGCGTATTTTCAAATCTCAGCGTGCATCATCGGTTCCGTGTGATGTGTACACTGACTAATTGTAAACAATTGCGTGTGGTACAGTTTCTTGCGTCGTGATTTTAGATATAGCCGTGATTCTCGGAATAATTCGTATCTAACACTTACTTTATAAGTAATTCCATTTTCATTGACCAATCATCATTTCATATGAAACCTCGTTACTTATAGGTTGTAATTGTAATGGCTTAAATAGTCTTATAAATCTGTCTATTTAACCACTTTGTAGTACTTTATTAGAGAAATAATACTTAGCAGGTGACACAAGGACGTTGCAACTAGAGCGTGCGGTCACGTGTTCTACTGTTAGGTATTGTCGGGCTATGATTGCATATTCACTATTTATACAATCAAAAGGGTATTTAAAATGCTTATTTAGCTGTATATCTTATTTTATACTGGTCATGTCAGGAATGTGAAAATATAATTTAGTGGCAAACCTACACATCCCTGAAACGACATTTGCCTCTTTACGACGCCATGCAGTTAACCTCGTTACCCCATAAAATTCCTGTCAAAGTGACGCAAAAAGATATTCTCTCTTCCGAAAGCGGTTATTCAAAGGATGTAGCTAAAAATAGATTAATAAACAGCTTCACTGAACATACCTAATGTCGTTATTTGTTAGTACTTATTAAACCATCTATTGCTATTCTTTAAAAGGACGTCACCTTATATTCACATTTCAACGGACAAATTATGGTAAAATTCTATTATTTCGCGCAGAAACAATTTCGTGGCCTAAACCGGCTTTGTTATTCAAAGGCCATTTTAAAAAATGAAGTTATAAAAAATATTGTTATTAATAATAGTAGAAACACGTCGTCATGCACACGCGCATGTACGCACGCACGCAGGCACGCACACAGAGAGACAAGGAGAGAGGACATCTTGAACGAACCAAACGGTTCACTACCATGGCTTTGTCATCCAAATACACAGAAGCTGTATGATAAAACGCATTGGTATAAAGTTTTATTTTTCATTAAAGATTTTATAGACTCCATGGTTAATCGTTTAGATTTGACACTTAAGGCAGTCTCCGATTGAGGTGACACCAATATTCTCTACAAAACGGAGTCCCTTTCACCTGACCCCTGTGATATATCCTTACCGATAGCTGGTCGTCTCCGGTTACTTGGAATGGACCTATCGTCTAGTTTGAACTTCGGCAGACACATAGAATCCATGGCCATGAATGTCCACAACTAGGAGGTTTTTTATCCAATCCGAGATGAGACGTTACTTCACACCAGGACAGTTGCTACAACTGTACAAGCCAAATTCCGGTAGCGTACCTACTAAATACCAACTGGCCACATTGGATTCCATTAAAAAGAAAACTTTTATTATTAGCTTTAAATAATATTGGTGCCAACTTGCAAGTTTGCAAATGTAAGGAATACGATTTTCTAAAAAAAGAGAAGGTATTTTCAAAATACTTCTATACCCTAACATATCCCTTTTTAGGGGTTGTATTGAAAAACCCTAAAACACGTGTTTATTTATTTTGTATTTAAAATATCCAAATCACGTTTGAAGCAAATCGCATCACGCATTCCCATACAAATTTAGATACCCGATTTCACCTCCATTTTGAATTATAAATTATTTATATTATTTTTGTAGGTTCAAGGAATACTTCTAATTTTTCAATAAACATTTTTACCACTTTCACCCTCTTAATGAATTTTTGAATTTGTATGGATGGAACGGATGTTACTTTTATTCAGTTCAGACGTACGGGTAGTAGACTAAACAACCCCTCAAGATTTCATGTTTATAGGAATTACAGTTTGTTGTTCGCACATCTACAAATGAATTGCTCCGAATCCTACTCCTTTGTAGACTTAATATATAGATAGATATTGTGTCTATAATTATATTTGCTAATAAATTAGATGTTTGTATAGAAATATGTGTAACTAAAATCTAGTTTGCAGTTGACTAGATATAGGCAATAATAAAAAAATTCGATACTATTTTTTTCATGTCCCATCGTAAAACTGCGTCTGCGCAGCTATCGTAAACTGCAGAATGTAAACAGTGCGCGCGGTGCCGCTGGTGTGTGCATGCATCACGTTCTGCGCACCCGCACTATTGCGCGCCGAGTTATTATGGTACTACTGAAATAACTTAATTTAGATTGCGTACCTTTTTAGAAGAGACTGTTGGCGTCAAAGATCCACATACAGACATGGGTCATACAAAATATCGTCTTCTTAACGTAATGTAAAATCTATGAACGTATGTAGATATGTACTACATACACACAATATAATATTTATGTCAAGACATATGTATATAGGATTTGTTGCCGCACGTTTATTTTAAGTGTCATGTGGAATGTACTTAAATATGTTTATAACTAAAATACTAACTTGAACTGCTGATTAATTATGAATAATTAACAATTTCATAATACCGTAAACGCAAAAACAACCTCGATATAAATATTTGTGATATAGGTTGTATAATAGATTTTATACGCAAAATACAGCTGATTTGTCACAGCAAAAAGAAAATTATTCGGAAATGGAAATTGTGGCGCTGCAGCGCTCGCTGCGGTCGTTACCGTGCCCAAATATAGAGCAAATTCCAGTTTGCGCAAGCGACTATTATTCACCCTACCCCTCAAGAGAACATGGCGCTAACGTGCGAGCTAACAACATTTAAAAAGGTTTCGTATTTTATTTCATAGTAGTCTTAGCGTCGTCTATATATATTTTTTTAAGATACTAAGTGACGGAACGAACAAGATGCGCTTCTGTTGGTAAGCGACACGCCTGTCTATAACAGTTGTAGTGCCACTCAGAGCTTTATTAGTAGTAAATTACTGGACCAATTTCAAAATTAGATGACCAGGTATTACCACACTATTCTTTTATGATATGAAATAACAGGACTAACAAGTGGTAGTAATAACTCGCTAAGATCTGAGGGGCACTGCCACTGCGCCCGTCACCCTGAGACACAAGTTGACAAGTCCCATGTGTCTGTAATTTCACTGTAATAACACTTAACCTTCAAAACCGGAACGCAGTAATGCTCACTTTATTGCATGGCGTCAGAAATAAGAGAGGTGGCAGTACTTTTAGACGAACTCTTTTACAAGGAGCTCTACTGCCACTAGACAAGTCCTTGTGCCTGTACTTTCACCAGAACCTTTACCCTTCAAAACCAGAACGTAATATAGTATATAGCGTACTGCTAAGTTGTAACCGTCCCGAATTCGGATGACCAGCTCAGAGTACTAAAAAAAACGACCTCAAAAGTTCGTGGAATTACATCTATTTGCCATGTTTTATTGAAATCGGTTACCGGAAAGTGCGTGAAACGGGATTCCCTAGTTTGCCACCCTTAGAGGGCCAATATTTTCTTCAAATTTAAATGGAACCGCTAATGAGGTACCCTCTTCCCAACAAAAAAAAGAATTATCAAAGTCAGTTTAGAAGTTCACAAGTTACCGCTTAGGAACCTCCTCCTTTTTTTGTAGTTGTTTAAAAATAAAATATTAAAGAACTATGGAAATATGTAATTACTTTGTGGTGTCATATAATTTTTATGTATTATATACACGCCATTAAAGATAATATTATGTTATTTAGTCACGCTTTATGCTTATATCTTTATGATCACCGTTGGAGCGAATGGAAAGGGTAACGTGGTTTTCAGAAAAGCAATTCACGCCATATACTCATTGCAAAATGGTTGCGGCGGTTTCGAAGCGTGATACCGCATATCTTAACTTTCCATGGAACCTATACATATAGTACAAATGAAAATTATTTTGGGTTCGTTTACGCAGTGAAATATTGTTAAAGTTGCTGTTAGGTGCTCTCTTTAAATCCGGCTTAGGGTGTAATATAGTTGCATTTTTAATAAAAGTATGGTCGTAAACAAAAAACTATCTAAATGTCATAAACCTATTATCTAGTCTGAAGTTTTTGTACAAAGCGGGTAATACGCTACCAAAAATTTAAAAGAATGTTGCAAGGTCCGAGGTCATCCACATTGTTTAGAACCGCTAATGTCTGGAAACGATTCGACATATGCCGATTGAATTCCATGCAGTGAAAATTTAATAGCGTAATTTAAAATAGATAATACCGTGCGCGTAACATTCATTTAACTGCCTCCGTGGCCGAACAGTTACCATACTGGACTGCCACGCAGAGGTTCGATTCCCTGGCCGGGAGAAATATTTGTATGACCTACATTTATTTCTCTCGTGAGTTTACGTGTAATTTGTGGTTGTCTATATGTGTGTCCATGGTACCCGCGACATAGGGTTTCCCTAGTGCGGGGCTATGTTGAGTGTGTGCGTTATTATAATAAAAAAAAATCATTTCAAAATATTAATTTACTCTAATGGGTTTGGAA